AATAAAAGACAGACCACGTTAAGATTCCATGTAATAAGTTATTTCACCATAACCCCTTTAACAGGGTTCTGGATCATCAGACTTTACTTCCAAAAGCTGAAATGAAAAATGAAAAAAGAAATTCACACGTTTTTTACGGACCTCATCAAGTATACGCAAAGTTAATGAAGTGAGGAAGTGAGGTGGGAGAGAGGATATGAGTGTGTCATATGTATCATTTTAGTTTCCTATTTTAACCCCAGTGTGTCGGCTGGATGTTGCTCAAATTTAACGCGTCTCGTTTCTAGATAAAGGTGGCTAAGGGGTGAACGATAAGAACTACATTAAAGGAAGACGTTACAACAACCCCAATAAATTACACGACAGGTTTCATTCAAATTCTTAGACACTGTCAGTTCGGCGTTACTTTAACGTGCATATTTGGGAGGTTAAGGTTTGATAAATATCTAAATTTTAAAACAATCATTGAAGGAATTAATTTGAAATTGGTGGAGTTTTGGGTATTTTCTATGAAACAGTCGATTGGAAAAAATCCATAGAACATTGAAAGAGCAATCCAATTCCATATATATATATATATATATATATATATATATATATTTGATTTTTGTTCATTAAGTAACCTCGTGGTTGTTTTTATGTACCCAATTATCAACAGTTATTCCCATTTAAATAATTTTATTCTCCACACCGGGTAGTATCTTTCAATCTCAATTAAAATACCAATCTAAATTTTCCTTCGTGCTATTTAAAATTCACTTCCAATTGGAGAATATTAGAGGAGAAATTTGGAAGAGATGTCACTAGCAGAGAATTAGGCCCTTCTTTTACAATTTCTTATCTACACATGTCTTAAACCCCTATTTGTAACCACATACCTATATCTTCTTATATGCCTATGAGTTCCTATATACACCTACACACACATTCACACGAAACGATATATGTATATTTCCATCTTTGCACATATGCAGAGAAAACGCACATCCACATGTCTCCATACCTATCTCCATATATACTTATACTTACATATATACATATATACACAAGGACATCTGCATATCCATATATACTCATATGCACATATATATATTTATACATCCATACGTATATACACATATATACACACACCCATATATGCATACATACATACATACATACATATACATACACACACATATGCATATGCATATGCAATATGCAGAATATCTACATACCCACATATGCGTTAATTAGCACTTACATATATCTACCCACGTATTTGTCCCTATCCTCATGTCCACCCGTGCATCCACTTATGCCTGCATTCGAAGACTATCTCAGTATTTAATTACATTATCTATATCTTTACACATATAATATTACCCGATTTTTCATATTTATGGCAAAACATATAAGTACCTATCTAATTGTACATCTCCACACTCACAAAAAAAACCAAAAAAAAAACCTGGTATGCTTCTTTTTCCGTATAAAAACATATACTTGTACATATCAACAGGTGTCTCAGTATGCAAATACATTATCATAGTTGTATACATATAGTCATGTGTTAGCGTTCACGTGTGCATAGTAATATTTCTAAAAACAAAAGGAATATAAAACATTCAAAATTGCTGTTCCTATATAATTATTTCTTAGTGTACTTGCTTAGGTTTAGGTTGTTTTTGTGCCGGCACAAAAACAACCTAAACCTAAGCAAGTAGAGTCTGATGCTCCAGAACCCTGTTAAAGGGGTTATGGTGAAATAGCTTATTACATGGAATCTTAATGTGGTCTGTCTTTTATTCAAACATATCAGCTCTGAATTTTACATTGAGCTCTCTGGATATTATCCTCCTCAGGTCTACCCATACGGATTACCTAAATTTGCATAAACTATATAAACTATATATATATATATATATATATATATATATATATATATATATATATATATATATATATATATAATGATCGTAAAAGTGTGAAATCCAGGATTACAAACTCATATCCATACAACTAATATATATATATATATATATATGTATATATATATATATATGACAAATGGAAAACACTTCATTGAAAATAGATTTGATTCTGCTTTTCGCCTTTCAATCAGATCCAAAAACAAATAAGTGTGTACATGTGTATTTGTGTGTATGTTTAAATAATGAATCATAGTACTTTTTCGCTAAGCTGGCATTTCTCGTGATTTAAAGAAAAAGGAAAATGAATGACTTTTAAAAAAGCTGTTAATATTTATTCTTATAGTGTGCTAAATAAACACCTGTAAATTTACTTCCTCCATACATTCTATTATTCTTGTGCTGTAAGAAACTAATAATTATTTTGTTAAAAAATATTATTTTAAATTTTTGTCTAGGTGTAAAAATATTCTCCATATAATTTGAAATGATCATTACAAATAAGTTTCCCTAACAAACTGTTTTTAAGATCAATAAATTATTATTGAGGTGACATCCATTTGTGTGTGTATGTATAAGATATCAATGTTTTTATCTGCATGATGTTTGTATCTACTATGTGATAACAAAATATGCTTGTATCTACTATCTTTATATTTATTTCTCTATCTTTCCACATGCACATTGTCTGTGCATTTGTGTAGGTCTAGGTTACTATGTTTATATTTACACAAACATTTGTTTTGTACATTTCAAAGTAAAGTATTTTTTTTATTTTATTTTTTTTTTATATAAAAGCTTATATTATGAGTTGCAAATTTGAGAAGTCAAATCTATACAGGCCTATACCAATATGATTAAATAACAAATTTACATTTTTTAATACTTACATTTCTAAGAAACATTTTCACCAGGAGAGCTGACTTATATTTCATATCTTTAAATTGTTGGGAAGAGTAAATTTAATTTTCTTTTGTTAATGATATAAATTGTTCATTTACAAAACAATACCCTAACCTTTCTTAGGTCTTTTTTCCCCACTTCCCATTTTTTTCTGTTAAAAATAAATCTGTCTGCTATATTTCTCTCTCTCACCACAACATATTTGAAAGTGGGTATAATGCTCATTGGTAATGTTTGTTTCTGTAACCATTTTGTTCAAGTTTAGTTTTTAAAAATAAGCCTTAAATAAACTTTTGCGTTCTTAATCACTGTGACAAGTCTCTGCTAGTCAAATGTGTGTAACCACCTTATAAATACATACTATTTATAGCTTGTTTTTATTTGGTCGTTACGAAATGTAAAGTCTCACTGGTTTACTCAGTACAAAAATAGTACCAACTTGAATTGAATTCATGAAATATAAAACCTCTGCCAATTGTTTATCTGTTCTGTTATTGGCACTGAAGACTAAGGACTTTATTTTTACCTTAGCTCTTTATTTTATATTCATTGCCAGACTATTTTTGTACTCTCTGCTATATTATAATGGACATTCTGGCAACTGCACTGACAGAAGATGCAGCAAGCCTAGATTCTGTGAAAAAAAAAAAAATGCTGTTTGGTGGATTTTATGACATATGAATAATGAAAACAGTCTCTCTATCCCTGAATCAATGTGTATTTTTGTAATACTTTTTTTCAATTTCTGGGACAGGTCTCACTTAAATTTGACATACACATAGGACGTATTTTGCAAAGATAATGAACCACCCAAGTTGAAGATAGACTACTTTAAAATGAGTTCTTCCATTTTAATTTGATTGAAATCAAATCAGATTTCTCTAAAGTGCACATACCTCTACATAAACATATATTTTTTTATAATAGTAGGGATGATATTATTTACAGTAACACATTTATGATAGTAACAATATTAAAATTAGTTTTCCTCATTGAATAATAACAATAGTTATGAAAAATATTAATTTTTCAATTTGCTAGTAATTTTTTATTTATCCAATTATGTTTGTCATTTCTCTCATTCCTTTTCAATTTTGTTTTGAGTCCTACTCTTCCAGCACTAAGAAGAATGTTATTCTCTTTTAAACATGTTTGCCTCCCATTTGGCCTGTTTAGACAAGCCATGACCAGTAATGATAACTTAAAATTCTTACATGACCCTGATCTTAAGGAGTCCTATTCAGTGATGTGCAGAGGTTTGGTGATGTTTGGTGATACACGGGAGCAACTTATTGATTGTATGCCCCTAAGACTCACGTAGGGCATGCCTATAGAGCTTAATACCAAGAAATGTGTGAAAGAAAAACAGATGAAACATGAAATAAACACTTTATTCAAATTAAATATAACTAAATGCTCAAATGTTTTCATGTATATATAATGTATAGGGTGAAAATAAATATTAATGCAATATTTTATTATTTAAAATAAAATTCCTTATTTGCAGAGAATGAAATAATTTTTAATTCATTATGTTAGGATTACTTTATTAATAATAATTGATACATTATGATACAATAGCTTAGTTGTGATTGTATCAACATCAAGTAAATCTATCTACCAGATACAATAACATGGAATAAGTTCATAAACCATAATAGCTATATGGTACATATTATATGCTTGTATTAAAGTATACTATTAAAACAATAAGGTTTTATTATTGTAAAATGTTATTAATAGATGACATTCTTATAAAAATTCTGTACAAATGTTATGTATTCAAGAGCTTCCTTATGTAGGTGTTAATTAGTTTAATGATTTGATGGAATTTGAGTATTTTCAAATTCACCATAGTGTTCAGGAATTTGAGAAAGCAAAAACATTTTTTAAAAACAACTGTTTATAAATCATATTAAATATATGAACTTTTTTATAATCAATTTATGTGCACAAACATAACTTGTTTAGATAATTTGCATAGAACCTGAAGAAGCTGGCAAATATGTTTAGAGGACTAATTTTAATTTTGGTACAATCATGTAAAAAAAAAAATAGTCCTTTTGTTTTTGTTTTTTGTTTGTTTTTTTTTCTTTTTAATGACCTATACCTATTTTTAAACTAATCTGTAGTGTTTAAGTGATATAAATATTTACTTGTATCTATTCCCAATTTTTACTTTTTCAGGTCTTTCTCTGTAATTCCTGTTTGTATTGTTATAATACTGCACAGCAAACATGAATATAAACGGACAGATCATATTAGAAGAAAACTTTGATGAAAACTACCTCCCCACAGAAGAAGGTGATTAATCTCTATTTATTACTTATAAATTAATACATTTCACATTGTTTTTTTTTTTTTCTTTGATTTCTGTTGTATACACATTTCCTTCCAGATTCCAACCAGTGATATAAGGTCAGAAATGGTGTCATGACAATTTCCACTGATCATTTTTTTAAAACAAAGCAAAAAACACACAACCTAAGACTGAGGTCATGTACATTATACATAGATAAAGCTCTTCATAATGTGTGAGCTGTACTTGTGAGTACAATTTTTTGTTTTTCTTTAAGGCATAGGCTACCAGGAATGAGTCTATTAGAATCTTTTCCAATCAATTCAATGGCTCCAACTACAACTGGAGTTATTGATGTCCTCATATATCATATTTTTAGATTTCCATTTCAAGATGCTTGTATTATGATAGTTTTTTTTTTTATCTTCAAAGATACATTGCAATCTGCAGAGAATGCCATGTCAATAAGAAAGGACATTTTGTTCTTGTGGTCTTTGATCAAAATGTCTGGTTGATTAGCTTTGATTTTTCTGTCTGTGTGTATTGGAAAATCGCATAAAATTGTTACAGATCCTATCTCTGTAACCAGGTCTGGGTGATGTTGATAACAGTTTCCTTCCTATAAAAGTTGTACATTTTCCAGTACAGATATTGGCCCACTCTATCATGCTGAGTTTTATATTCAGTAGGTGCTAACACTGTGTAACCTGATACAAGATGGCCAATTGTTTCTGGTTATTTATTACAGAATCTGCGTTTGGGGTCAACACAATTTTTTCACTATGTGTGCTTTGTAATTTCTAGTTAGCAAGCATTGGTCATGTGCAGCAAGAATAAAACCTTTGGTTTCAACTTTTAACCCTGCACTACATAACCACTGATAGGTATGGGGTTTTGTCTACGTTGACTTATTTAGTACGAGTAGAGTATTGACCATGAAGAAGTTTATCTTGCCATTGTTTCTGGATTTGGTACATTATATTTGCTTTTGCTTTGTTTTTGAGGTTTTTGCCACCGCACTAGGTGTATTATGGTCTATTTGTTCACCAACTTGAAATTCCCTTTTGAATTTATTGGCTTCATTTATTACTGAATAAAGTTTCTTATTTCTTTTCATGTTCTTTGACTCAGATCATCAGATTATTATTATTATTTTTATCATAATAACAGTAGTAGTCATAGGTTCAATGTTTTGTCTTCAATATTATACGAAAGAAATCTGTTAGAATTAATCTTCAGATGTAGTTAAAATGTTTGAGAAAGTTGCAGTATTTCTGAACTATGCTGCAGTTATAAATGTAGAAATATTTTAAAAATGTAATTAATACATGTCTATCTTAAATCTTTTTTAATAGATTTTTGAAGTACATTTGTTTCTGTCACTCTCAAGTCAATTTTTTCCAACAAATCTGCTTTTGTAGAATGATAAATTAAGTTTCAAGTTATTATTCTTAGCTTCTACCAAATAGACGAAAATGAAGATTGTGTTGCACCAGTTTTCCAAGTTAATAGAGCCTTAAAAATCAGTATTCAAAATTTTTGCTTTTACCTGAGCTCAACACCTGGCAATCATTGGAAAATTATTGATTTTAACATGAATTCACCTAAAGACAAAATCTGATAAATAAATAAAAAATAATTTAAAAAAATATGCTAATAAAATTAATTTTTTAAAATTGTTGAAAAATGGCATATTGCAGTATATGGATATTTGATGATTCCTATTACAGTTATCTGTTGAAACTGAAGGTTTTCATGTAAAAACTAAATAAATATTTTGTTAAACTGACAAATTAAGCATTTTATACTAGCATTAAAATTCATAGTTTTCCTGTTATTTATGCTGCAAAATTCAAAATTATGTCTATTTGTTCAGAAATTAGATCAAAGCTTCATTTCATAAATTCAAACATGTTTAAGGTAATTTTGGCATAGAAAACAGCTATATAAACCTATTTTGATATAAACAGAGAAATAATTCATTTTGAGTTTGTTAATCTCTATTTCTCATATGAAAATAATTCAATTGTTACATTTCAGAGGTCTTTGAGTATGCACGGACCATTGATATTGACCCTATCAATGAAACTCACTTAATGTGGATTGCAAGAGAAGGAATCAGTGCACCTTTGCCAAAACACTGGAAACCTTGGTAAGTTTATGAAAATTCAGATCTCTCAATTACTACCTGGTTACATGTTGGTTTCAATTTATATCAGTTTGAAACCTTTTCATATTTTTTATATTGAATAGCTTCAGGCAATGCTTATTTAAATATAAAGTCCTGTTTCATTACAAATATATTTTAAAAACAGTATTGTAAAACTAGGCTAATAGATTTTTAATGAATGATTTTTAAATTAACTTGCTTAAAGACTGGCAAAAGCAGTCCTTAAGCTCAGTATTAAGTCATTTCCTATTTATAGAAATGAAATTGTTTGTGAGTGTATATAAGAGAAACTACTCTGTAATTAGCCAAACTCAAACTACATCTGAATTTTAAAATTAGCTTTATTTGTATTTCTACTAATCTATAATCAGCAGGAGCCTAGTTTTAAATGATTTTTTAACATCTTTATTGCTATAAAATTCTGTGAACTTTGCTTGCTTGCATGTTTGCCACCATGCACACAGTCATATATAGAGAGTGGGGAAAAGAAAGATGTGAATTTATTATCATGTAGGAAGTGGGGGGAGAAAAGGAAATGAATTGACAGTGAGACCAAAAGAAAAAAAACACTCTCTCTTTCCACCTCTCTGTGATTGCATCCATGCTTATTTATATTTCAGCTTTCTTTAAAAAAACATTTAAAAAAAATTTTTTGGCATATTTAAAAAATATTTTCATGTGAATATGATTTAAAAATATCTTTTGGCATATTAAAAATATTTTTAAGTTAGTCTGATTTTAAAATCTTTCAAGTGAATAAGATTTTAAAATGCAAGTTGTTATACAGTAAGTTTTTTATTTCAACTTTCTTCAAACACACATTTTTTTTTAATGTTGAAACCAACTTCAATGTTTCATAAACTGAAGCGTCAGTGACCCAATGGGTCATGGGTAGTACCAACTAAAATTTGCAAATCATTAATTGAAAACTGCAAGAAGAGGTTGGCCGCTGTAGAAGTGAATAATGGTTATTCTTCAAAGTATTAAATGAAGATGTACTCTGTTTTTTTTGTCTTATATGAATACTTTTTTCACCCATTAAAATGGATAAATGGGATTTATTTCTTTTAAATCATTTTTTTCTGTTTTCTATGCATATTTAGTTATTATACATCTGTGTATAGTTAATTATATGAAAATTATGTTTATTTGTTTGTTGGAAATACAGTAAATTAAAAAAATTTGTTTCTGCACAAATTTTTATTCCCCCACTGTAAATAAAGTTGTAACCTCTGTCTCCCTGTTATCAATAGACCCCTATATTCATATATATTCTTAAACTACATTACCCAGGGTACTTGGATAAGAATATTTCATTTTGATCAAAGGGTGTCCCCTGGGAAGCGCCCCTCCTCACTGATTTTTTTTTTTTTCCTTTTGATTTAATTTAAATTTGGAATGACTCCTATTCAAAATATAGAAGGAAGAAGCCAGAAGGTTGTATCGGTAAGATCAAAATGAGACAATATGGACATCAAGTTGAGCAAGAAATCGCCAATCAGTGGGTAGTCCCTTACAATACATATTTTGACAATTTAGCTGTCATATCAATATTGAAATCTGATCATCACTTCATTTAGTCAAGTATTGCATCAAATACATATGAAAGAGGTCAGTTCAAGCTGTTTTTGCATATCCCCCCCCCCCCGAAATCTTTTTCCCCTTTGATTTAAATTAAATTTAAATTGGAACAAGGGAATGACTCCTATCCAAAATATAGAAGGAGAATGCCAGAAAATGTAGGTTACATCAGCAAGATCATTAAGTAATGTTGAAATGCATATTTTTTCTCCATAGATTATAACTGATTTAAAATCAATCATCATTTTCTTACAAAAAATGTGTGCTACACATCAAGACACAGGTAATTCAGTTAGTACATGTTTATAATTTATAAAAATCTTTTTTAACAAAGTATGAAGATGTTCATGTTGGAAGAGGAATTAAAAAGAAATAAAGACTAATAATTTTTGCATAAAATAATGATACCTATAATGATAGGTAATTTTTCTAAAAAAAAAAAAAAAAATTGAAAGAATTCTGTATAAGAATATGTAAATTTTTTTTTTTTTTTATAAAATAAAGGTATTATTTAATTTCAATAATCCGTAATATTTTCATCTTACAATATTGATATGAGTACAACTGCAGCTCCCATGCTATCCTGTGACGATCTAACCCTTGGCTGATTCGGATGGAAATTTGGTTAGATTCGGCATCAGCTTTGTCATTCCTAGCTCGCCTCCAACATCTGGTTACCGAAGTAACTGCTTTGATTTCTAGTCTAACCTCCCACGTTGTGATTTGATCTTAGGTAGACAAAATCAATCAGTTGTCGGGCCGTAGTGCAAGCCGAATTCGGGGAAAAGGTGATACTGCATAAGTATATGTAAAAGAAAATAAAGTAACAACTCAAAAGATTCAAATGTGTTAAAAAAGAATAACAAGTATCTTTATATCTGGTTGCTGAATACAGGACTGCAACTTTCTCCCAAACCGCTTCTATGGATTCATGACACTTTGCGTTGCTTAAGCGAGTCTTAATATCCTAAGTTGTTTTTCAATAAACTGGTTTTTGGTATCTTCAGGCGATATTTGTAAAACTTGTTTTGGTGGTGTGAGTCTAAGTCGTTCTTCAAAAAAAAATTGTTTTTGGTTAGAAGTTGGAATGCGTGGAAATCTTTCAGTCAGCTCCTGCGAGGCTGGTTTCAACTGCTACTCAATTCTGTGACTCCAACTGTCACCAACTTTGCTCTGGCGATGTTCGTTTATATGGACATCGACCAAAACCAGGTGGGATGGGGGCCTGTCGTGGTTTGGGTCCTTGATAACTCCAAATCCGCAATAAGGATTTTCTGTTTTCGTAAAGGAAAATATATCACTTCCCATTTTTGGAAGTCAATTACTTTCTGTTTTAGAGGGGTTCTTAAGAGAATTGTCCTCTTAAATTTTTCCTTTTTCATATTGGTATCTCACACCAATCCCCTCAGAAGCGTCAACAGGTTTCCCTTCTTTCTCATATGTTTACCTTCGCCCATCGCTCACGCCACCATTCAGCCAATGAACGCTCGGCAGTGTGGGTGTGGCTAGACCGGCTTCAGTTTACAATTATCGCTCAAAGAAAAAAAATTATCTTTCTTTTCCATCAACCAGAACCCCCACAAATTGTACTGTGGACATTAAATCTTTATCTTAATTTGATGTCATCTGGGATTCATTAATGGGATTTCCGCTGAGTTATTATCTGGGTGGTCAACTGAATCTCTTTGTCTTTCTCAACATCATCGCATTCTGTCGCCAACAGCCTGTCCAGGCAACAAACTTTTATCATGGCAAGTTCTGGACATAACACAGGTGGTTCTCCTTCCAAAACCAAATGATATCTCCGAAAGATAGTTAATGGCTTATTCTTTTTCTTTTTCTTTTCTTCCTTCCTTTTTCTTTGGGGTGGTCTCACCTAATTCTTTCTCAGTCACATGCTTGACCCAATTTTCGATTATCTTCTAGCATTCTGCTTTGTAAGCCTCTTGACCAAATTGAAATTTTCATTATTGCCATGGGCAGATTGCTATCTTTTACCCGCATTCTGCCCTTCCTTGCCGCGTCATGGCATAAATTAATTCTGACAGATCCAAGATCTTACGAATTTTCTATCTTCTGCGAAAAAAATATCTTTCTTCGCAAATGAAAATAAAATCTTTACCCATTTTTCTTTTGTTAAAAAAATAACATCGCTCAGTATGTCTTTCATTATAGCTTCTTCTCGCCTTAAGTATTTCTCGGTTTTAATTTCCATGCTTAATTAGTTAGCCAAAAGCTAAATAGTGTCACATCTTCAAGTTGGATGATTTTTAATGCAACTATCTTTACAAATATTTCATTATTTTTGCTGTGTTACAGTAACAAACAAAAGTAGTCCCAAACAAAATAGATTTTGATATTCTTGTATTACTACTGATCCAGCCTAAAATCTTATGAAAATATCGATACTTTCCTAAAGTAACAATGCTTTCAATGTGATAAAGTAAAAATGTAAACATAATGCCAATCCTAAAATTGTAAAACATTATGACTCTCTTGGTCCAATTTAAAAACATGTTATTAGTAAAGTTTTCTGATAAGACCATATCACTTGATTAAATGAAATACTAAAATGACTTGTGATTAGTAGATAAGAATTCAAGCTAAGAAGTTTGAGTTTCTAGCATTAGTTGTACGTTGATAAAAATTATATGGAATTATTCACCTTCGAAAAAGAAAATTAAACCAAATTTCTCTTTAGTTATCAGTTTAGCATTTAATAAATGTGGGATATCAGATATAAATATCAAAATATTAAAAGGGTTTGGAAATATCATTCTAATTATTATGACTTGATTCTCATGAGAACATTTTCTTTTAATGAATTTATTTCAGTCAAGATCCACATGGAAGTATTTATTATTTCAATTTTGCCAATGGAGACAGCATTTGGGACCACCCTTGTGATGAGCACTATAAAAAATTGGTAGAGAGTGAACGTAGAAAATCTGCTTTAATGAAAAATTCTCCAGGTAAAAAAAAAAAAAAAACTTTAAAATAATGTTTTTTCTGTCATAAGAATTCAGTAAATATTGAAACTTTTGTTTGATTTCTCATAATTCTATTCAGTTATTGTCAATAAATTTCTGTCACTAATATATCTTTAGTTATCATTTTTTTTGTATTTAAAAAATAATGCATCTGATGTACTTTGATCTCATGTTTTTTTTTAAATATTGGGAAAAAATAATATATATTTTACTGATCTTTTTAAGATAATACTTGGAAATACAAAAAAAAAATAAAATAAATGATCTTTTAAAAACAAATACATTTAAAAATATAATTTATTTAAAACAAATAAAGGCAGGCATTATTCAGTTAATTGATGTTTATATATATATATATATATATAGAGAGAGAGAGAGAGAGAAACAGTTGTGTATCATCTATCATTTCCTTATCATCATAGTTTTTTACTTACGAAAATTAAGATGTGGTAAATAGCATGTACGTATGCAAGTAATAATAGACTGATTAAACAATTTTTTTCTTGTAAATCAAAACTATATATTTTACAAACTGCTGAAAATCAAAATTTCTAAATTCAATGAATGCTTCTTTAATTGATCTGTTGGAATCATATTTTTTAATTCACTTTGAAACATTTTTAATTTATCAAAATAAATTTTATTTTACAGCAGAATCCAAAAAGATAAAACCTCTTGATGCAAAAAAGAAGAAGGAGAAAACAGAAAACAATGTTTGTCTCTTTTCTTATTTTCCAAATATTTCTTTGTTTTTCATTTTCTCTTGTCTTTTAAAAATTACAAGAAAAGAAATAATTTCTCATGTTTACAAATGATTTGGATCATAATTTTCTTCATCTACACTTCTTTAATTTAATATAGTAATACATATTTTAAAAAATTAAAAAGATTCTTTTCATCCATAAATACAAATGAAATTTGCCAAGATATTCTAATTACTTGTAACATTTTTTATGTTTGTTGTTGACAGCAGTTTATTTAATTGTTGTTGAGAATTACTTTGTGTCATGCAAAGACTATAATACTGTTAGAACCATAATTTTCATAATTATTGAATGCAATGTAATTAAGCATAACATTTGTATCAAAACTGTATTGTTCCTCTCAAAAAGAGTTTAACTTGCAAATCTTAAATTATAAATAAACTGTCAGCATAACATCTCATTTTTAAAATGTGGAACAATGCTTTTTAAATGTAATCTTTTCATAATATCTTGACTATCATGGGTGTAACAATGATGTTCTCATACTATGATTGTTCTCTGTCAAGGTTGACAATGGAGAATAAAGGCTTTTTACTGCTAATTCATGGGTAAATAATTATAGGAGAGTAATTTACTAAAGTGCTAACTCACCTACTCTCTTCTCCAGTGTGTGCCAGAAGGGAAAATTTTATTAAGATATTTGACAATGTGACAGAGGATAGGGAGAATTGGATTTGTGCATTTTTCAAATGTATTAGTGTAAAGTGAATATAAAAAGTCTTGACCAGAATCGGAACTCGTTTTTAAGATTAAAATTGGAGGAAATAGTCACAAAGACCATTTGTCGTTTTTGAAGAATTTTTTTTTTTATACAAATTTATTTCGCAAAATTCCACTCTGCTTCATTATATTTACTTATGTGAAAATACCATTGTGAACAATATAAACTCACTTTAATTAGTAGGATTTATATCAATAAGTTATTGTTATCTACAAAACATTCTTACAATTTAAAAATATTTTCTGGCTTTAAATAACCTGCACAAAATTGATAAACTGTAAAAAAAAAAAATCATTCATTCAAAATTTCTTTCATAAATGTTTATGGCCATTGCTCTTTCTAAAAATCAGTATATCTGTTAAGATTTGCAAAGAAAATGTATGTATTGATTCATTCTCTGTGACTTTCATACTCACTTTTTATTTTAACTTTATAATGCATTGGAAATGAAACTTAAAACAAATAAGAAAAGAAAAAGTTAACAGTGTATCATTTTGAGAACAATTAAAAGAATTTTAATTATATTTTCAAGTTGTTTAGCATTGTGATAACATCAATATTTTCTCTTCTAAATATTTTTTGGGTATATAACTATTTAAGTAATATTGTCTATTGCTACATAATATAAGAATTATAATTTAGCTTCATCATGGCTTGGCTTTGTGAATAAAGATATTGAAGAGTTTTTTCCAACCCTGTAATTGTTAAAATCTATTTTAAAATATTTCAGGACCTTCGAATTGGAACTCCAAAAGCTAGCTACAGTATGGGAACACCCTCATTGCATAAAGGTAGTCCTACTCTTGCTCCACTCAAATCTGGGAATCAGCTAGCACCACTCAGAGGCTCAAACATCCCAAATGTAAGTTTACCAACAGCTTATTAAAAAACCTTTCCTGTATTTCATTTTTAATTGAGCATGTTTCAACATGTACATAAAAAGAATCAAGTGGATAGAGCATGAAAACAAAAATTACAAGATTTATGATATTTTGATTAGATAAGCCATATTATTCTAAATAGGTAACTTACCAAGTATCCACTCATCAAAACTTTTAGTCATGCATGTATCACTGCGGATACTAAAATATATTGAAAAGAAGATAATCACTTCTAAATTGAAAAAAATATCCAGCTAACACAACATATTTGTCACATAATAATTGCATTTAATAACACGACTACCAACCACAAGATAACTCGTGGTTGTCAGTTTTTATTATGACAGCAACTACAAGTTATCTCATACTTGGCATTTTCTGATATATTTTTACCTCTGGCTGTCAATGAGTTTATTTGCAGTGACACTTTTAGTATGAAAACAATGTTAAGACTTCAGTTGGACCTATAAATCAACTTTGAAAAAAACTTTTATTGCCCAAGTTGGCTATTATAAAGTTTGCATTTGAAGTCAGATTTTGTAATTGACCCCTGGTAATCAACATGTTATGGTCACTGGCAAATGAAATGTAAAAATATATAATATAAAAAAAAATGTTAAACTGAAACTTAAAAAAAAAAAAAAAAGGTCAGTTCATGAGCCAACAAAGAATTGATCAATATTAAGTTTTTATCTAATGTCAATTTGTATATTTTGTGTATCTGTTATATAATGTGTAAATGTTTTTTTTTTTATTTCTTCTAGGATCAAACAGTAAGTAATTTCAATAATATATCTGGGTTTTTGATTCCAGAATAGATCCTCACAACCCAAGTGCCTTGGTTGTGGCTGATTGCTAAGCTCTCTGTGTTGTCCCTTTTGCTATAACAACTAACTTCATCTTTGGCTTAAGCTTTGACCTACTTGCATGAGAACATGCTAAACTGAATTAGGAAACATTATTTTATATAGAGAATTAAAAAAAATAAAAGTTGTTTGTGTACTCTTCAGCATTTAACAGTGCAATAATTTACTTAATTCATGAACAGATGATAAAAATATTGCAATTTAGATAATATATTTCTGATTTGTTTTTCATAACAATTTAATTACATTAGCTGTGGATTATTTTATTGAACGCTTGAAAAAGTTAATTACAGCCAATATATTACAGAAAATCATTTTTGGTCTTAAATAAAACATTGATTTCAACTTAAGTAAAATTGAGCTTTAATTGTAAGAGAACTCTTGAATACTTTATTTTTGTTTTTGTCTTCAAATAAAAGGCATATTTTCTTATTGAGATGATCTAATGTTTGGAATTCATATACTGCTTTTTTTATTTAAATTGTGGAACTTAAAGGGTGGAGAATTTTAGTTTCTAGAAAGAAAATAAGTTTAAATGTTGAGGGATTTTACAAATAAAATGTATCTAAAATTGATATTAAAAATATGATAAAAAAATTAGTGTGTGTGTGTGTGTGTGTCATTTTTTAATATTTTTACATATATGACAGAAAATATATTCACAACCAAAGAGGAAAAAAAAGTTGTAATTAATTATTGGCAATTTATAAGGAATGCATTTTCCAAACATAATCGGGACTGGAAATTGCTTCTATTGTACAAAAAATAGATTTTACTCAATATTAAAACCTCAAATATTGACACTGGTTATGATATTGGTGTAAAGATTATTAAGTCTTTATGGCTGGTTAACTGACTCCCACCGTAAGCCATCAATTTGCCACTAAAGACATAGAATGTAACTAAATATTAATACCTGATTAAAATTAACTAAGGACCCCCAATTTTGTAGTGTAAAACTTCTAATTTTATGAATTCTTTTAGTTATTGTATTTCTGCTGTAAAAAATATACTAATTTATAAAATACTCTGAAGTGCAGCAACTTTCACCATCACTGACTAATAAGAAAAGTAATATGTATAGTCTGGCTAAAATTATTGGAATATGGATAAAATGTGGAATAACTGTTATTTTTAATTTTTTTTTATTAATATTCACCTGATACAAGGCCCAAGAGTCAATCAAAGTAGAGGGTTATTGCATGTTTGTTGTATTAGTGCAAGAAATGGCAAGAAGTGAAGTTATTGGGGATATGCAGGAAAGATAACAGCTAACTCTAAACTTGAATAGCTCAAGATTTAATTAGTGACTAAAATTTCCAAGTTCAGTTGGAGACATTAGAAGTATAGTGTGAAAGTAGACTTTGGAAGCAACAGGAAACAAGTGATAAACATCCACTGTTCCCAAAAACTGGTGAGGAGTGACCTGGGTAATAAGCCTAATATCAAAACATATTTTGTTTTCAGGGCTACAATGGTATTAAAGATACAAAATGGTAGGTCTAGACAGAAGCATATAAATTATTTGATCTAGAAAATAAATATCTCTGAACAGTTTGCTTTGTCTTCTAGCTCTTCCTTTATATTGTGTTCATATGTTGTCATTAATTAATTTCTAAATAATGACTATGTAATTCATTTTAATTTCAAATTTGCTTACTGCTTTCAATAAAACTACTTTCACTCACATTATGCTTGTCAAATAACTGCTTTTACTCGGACAAATACAAGACTCTTCAACATTAAATAAAATATGTAACGACATGCTCTGCTCATCCGTCACTGCACAACCTGATAAGATCCAAGGTTGGTTGTATGTTTATACACCCAGCTGGCTATGTGCACAGGTTTGTCCACTTGGCCATAATCGAATTCACAAGGAATAACAACAAATGCTTTTCAAGACTCTCTGGTTACGAAATAGCAACAATAAGAATTCTCACTTAGCCATCTATGTTTTTCCTCAGCTGAATTTCTATCTCCCTAACTGCTTGCTGGTCCCTTCCATCTCTGACTGTTGGACCCCTTTCTCATTGGCAGCTGGTCACTTACTCTCTCACTGGTCACCTACCTACTTACTTGTGGTCTCCACACTGAAACCCTTCCCTTATACTTCCTGCTCTCTCTGCTTATGTGGATAATGGCTGGGTCCCACCACCCCTACCTGTCTCTTCGTGTTCCTCAACAAGAGACCACCCATTTGGCTTTTTGGCTGGTCAGCTTCTTCATAGGACTACTTTTATGATTATCTAAAATCATTTTATGTTTGCCAATTCAAAGGCAGCTGGGGACAGAAATCCTGAAAAACTCTAACACTTAAGTTGATTCAAAGATAGACTGGAGATGAATTTCCTGAAACTTTTAGGTACTAAAGTTGACTCAAAGGAAAAGGAATCTATCTACTTATCTCGTAATGATGTATGAAAAATTGTATTGTTACAAATAGCCTCTAATAATGACATCTCTTTATAATGAAATACATTAGGTTGCCCCAAATATTTCTTCTTTTCCTTAAATAAAAGTAAAAGAAACCAATTTTCATTTTCACCATTAACTTTATTAAACAACATATTTATTGGTTTCTTGCTTTTTTTTTTTTTTTTTTTTCAAGCAACTTCATGATTCTGTCCACCCAGAACCTTTTGTCAGCAAAGAACTGTTTTAGCTACCTTTTGCAGTTTTCCAGGGAATTGGATTGTTTTCTGTAAAGAGCAGAAGAAATGGTAGTCCCAAAGTGCAAAATCTAGAGAATACAGTAGATAAATAAAGACTTCTCAGTAAAGTTGTCAATATTTTTTTTTCCTGATCACCAAAAACACATGTGGTCTAGTGTTATATAGATGGAATATTACTGCTTTTCTTTAAAATAATTTCACATACCTCTTGTTGATTGCACCTTCATTTGGTCTAATTGGTGATGGTATTTGTTTCAATGAGTTAATTAGTTCTCTGTAAAGATCTTCCAATCCTACCATATATACAACATACCTTCTTTGGTTAGATTAGTTGTGGTTCATTTTGCTTAGTCTATTGCTGTAAAGTATCCACTTTTCATTGCTTATTACAATTTGTTAAAAAAAACAGGATGTTTTCATTATATTTAAGTAGTTAACAGTATATAGAAATTCAGTCTAATTGTTTTTTGTTTTTGTTTTTTTTGCTTATGTGGAAGGCATCAAAGTGATTAACATAACCAAGCTGGTATAAATTATTTTCAGCTTATGATTTTGATATTTTGAGTGTATTGGCCCACTCTCATGTCATATTCATTATTTTCAAATTTATCCTTGTTTATTATTAACCTCAACTGGGCTATCTGACCCTGGAGTATTATTCAGCAACAAATCTTTGGCACAAAACTTTGCAAAGCTCTTCTGACATATCATCCATTCTCTATACCTTTTCAGTAAACTGTACAATTTTTTCTTTGCATTTAATTCAAACTTTTACTTTTCTTTAAAAAACAATACAGAATACACCAAAAATATTAAATATTACCTATTTTCTTCAGATTTTAATATGAAGGGTTGATAAGCTGTAGAAAACAATAAATCAATCAAACTTCAATATTATCACTCTAATTAAAAACATGCCAATTTTGAAAAAGAAACCTTCATGTTGATGTGACTGCTATCATAATCTAATTAAAAGTCCATTAAAGCTAAATATTCATAATGATATCTCACAACAAAAATACAACAAACTTTTTGACTAACCTAATACAACAGTACTATGCCTAAATGATATAGGTAAAGCAAAGCAAAATAAAATAAAATAAAATAAGTACAGTAAATCATTGGTAATTTTAAAAGTAAATAAAATTGTTTATTCATTGTGCACTGACCCAAAGAAAGCTACACAATTTACAAACTGAAAAACTAGTTAAAAAAACAACAAAATAGGAATAATAAGAAAATAATAGAATGAAAATTTAAACCATATTCATTTATTAAAATACCTGTATTTCTTGAATCACTATCATTGGCTTAGAGACTTTTTCAGACACCTACATTTTAATGGTTTTTTCAATAAATTTGTTGTGATGTGTTTGAAACTTCATGAAATTCAGCTGTCATGACAGTGATTTTTTATAATTTGTATGAAATAAATGTACATTAAACATTGGTGATATGTTTTGAGTTCAAATCCTACTGGTTAGCAATTTATTTGATATTTTGCAATTTTATTTCTATGTACAATAACATAAAATACATTTGTTATGTAATAGTAATTCCTGATGATGATCAAATGAAAAATATAATAAAAAATGCATTGAAGATGTTGGGGAGTTATAACTATAAACCCCCTAACACTTAAAAATACTTGTAGAAAATGATAAACAGCAAGATGTGGCAACAACAAAACCAGTTCTATTTCTTATCTGGTTGACAGTAGTCGTTATGTGGTGTTAGAGACTTGGGAGATAGCAATACAGAGTAAATTGTACATAGTCTTGAGTATTTTTTATATAATGTGTGTAGTAAGTGTCCAGATAATTTATTTGGAGAATAAAAAAAAGAAATCTGGAGTTTCCTTACCTCGGATTTTAGTTATGAGTGTTAAGAAGGGATAAATATTATCGTTGTGACCTGAAAAGGAAAGAAGCCGAAATTTTGGTCAACTCTCACATTGACTGTTTGTCTAATAGTGGGAATGTCATGTGTTTGTATGTGGTAGAGGAGAAGAGCAGGGTTGATTCTCATTCATTTAGGAAGGGTGAATCATATTAATGATAATTATTTTATTATAATTATTTGTGATAGTATAATTAACTTATTAAAAATATGTTTAGTGGTACAAAATTTTATCACTGCCATAAACAGACAAGAATTAGTTTTATTATTACCACTCAGATAATAAAAAGTAAAAATGAAAAACGGGCTAGCTAACCGGTTTCATATCTCACTCAACAGAGCTAAATAGATGTAAATAAAGTAAATTATATAAAATTGGACAAAGTGTATTGGGGGGAGAGAAAAAAAATATTTAAATGGTAAATAATTGGAAGCCTAATACAAAGTCCTTCTGTTTACATAGAGAAGGCTTTAATAATAGAATATAGATGGCCTCCAACACTTTTAGGTGGTAATTAGAATGGGACTTGCTAATGTTATAAAATAAAATAAGACATATCTCGGCTGATTTACAGGCAAATACTCAAGAGCGAGAACCGGATGTGAACGGGACAAAGCCCCGTCACAAAATGACCATTATCTTTCCTTACAAATGTTTCCGACACACGTGTTCTGGTTGAAAAATAAAATAATATTTAAAGTGCTCTATTTTTCGTCCAATAAAAATGCTTCCCTTCTAATTATACTCGCTTCGTTTCGAGCCTGTTAAGCCATAAAAAAACACTATAAAAGGGGTCACACGGAAGTTCAACAGGCAGTCAACAGGTGGCCAGCGAACAGACCTGACGGTCAGGCTGAGCGATCAGCAGTAGGGGAGCGTCAACCACCGTCAACATGTGTGAACTACTATGAGAGATCGACCAGATCCGAAAGCCGGCTTATGAACTTTACCACAAGGTAGCTGTCCCAAACCCTCACGTTCCTGTTGAAATAAACCACGTAAATCTATTTCTAATGTTGTCGTATTTCTTTCTTGCAACCATACGCTTGTCTATAATACTAAGGATGGTAAAAGCGTCCGCACTAAAACTAACAGCACAATTATGGCTATTTATAAGTTGTTCTGTGATGGAAGACCCATACGTATTGGTCAAAATGTCCGAGGGTGTGTACTTAAGGTTTTGGATTTTCACTGGAACATGTTTTATTCTAACATCCAGCCTTTGCGTTGTTCTCCCTATGTAGTGCGAACCGCAACTACATTTAAAAGAATAAATTAATGAACTATTATGATGTGGAGGGAGAACATCCTTATGCATAGACGGAAGGACAGGCTTGACAGAGAAAACAACACAAGTGTTATTATTTAACTTTTATTTATTTTTAATGGACGCAACAAAGAAATCAAATCCTACCTGCTAAAAAAGAAATATGAAAGAAATAGAGGACAGATGTCTTCTAAATTATATGACAACATTTTGGGAATTTCTTTCTTTTTGCACCTATGTTTTAATCCTAAGTACTCACATTTTTTTATCTATTCATTATGCATATTTTAACATCCTTGCTTACCTCATTTAATATTAGGTGTTTCCAGCACGACATTGATAGAAATAATTTGTGTATTTTTGTGTTTTCTTAATGTCACTTGAGAGTCTTAGGAAATTCAGGATTAGTGATATGGCACTCTTTGTTAGCACATTTATTGTTTCACTAATCAGGCCTATAATAAAGTAATTACATAATGTATATAGATTAAAAATAACCCAAATTAATTTAAAACCAATCCTCTTGAACTCAAATAAGTATGTCTGTTCATTTCTAATATTCATCTCATCTGCTGTTGAGGTCAATAAATTTTTACATTTTGGAAGTCTGCAAACTCTAGCAATGAAGGCATACAGCCACATAACATTGAAACACAGGTTCTCGTAAAATCATCAGAATTAAACAACATTGAGACTGATTAGTATCTAGATGAGTGACCACTTGGGAATACCAGGTGTTGTAAGCTTGGGTGTGCACTCTGAAGGTGGTGTAATGAATAATGGCTCTGAATTCTTAATCAGAGAGCTGAGTTTCAATTCCAGTTGGGTTCGTTAGATTCACTTATGTGCAAATATCCTTAGGAAAGGTATGATTTCACCTCTTCTCTACCCAGATATGGGTTTATTATTAAGACTTGTATCACTAAATCATTATTGCAAAAAAAAATTCTTACATCTAAAAACATTTTCTGGTTTTAAATAAGCTACAAGGTTGATAACTTGTAGAAAAAGAATCGGTCAATCTAGCAATGAAAACTTGACAGTGGATAACTATAAAAATGAAAATACACTTCATAAATTTTAGAAAATAAAGAAACTAACAAGTATTTTGTCTATAACACTGCATAAATTATATAAATTAGTTTATAGATTAAAAATACATTATGAAATTGTGTGGCTATTCTCATCCTGTTTGTAGTATGGTCAAACTTGTTGGTTAACCAAACTGCCTTTTCACAACAATTCACTATAGTCAATAGTATCCCTTTTACAGATTAAAGTTAAGCTTATGCAATAGTTGAACAATTTTTAGAAAGATGATTATATTGGAATATTGAGTGACCCCATCAAGTAGGTAAAGCTTATAAGCATTCAGGATCTTTGCCAAATTGTTAGATCCTCAATTATACAGAAATCTTATTTTCCACACATTCTCGGATTTATTAATTTGGCTATGAAGTGTTTGATATTAAAGAAGTACTTAGCATTTACTTTAATTATTAGTATTATATCTTTCTTTTTTTGTTTTCTTTTTCAAATTGTACATTTACATTGATTTTTCAACAAGCATTTTCTTATGTCAAAGAAAATAAACTATACTACCAAGTACATCTTACTTATTCCTTGGCATTGATATGAATGTAAATTTCTTATATTATTTTTTATAAGAGTTTATAACTCCTATTTTAAAATTTTAAGAAATATTTAAAATTTTGTTTAGTTGCTATGTTTTACTTTTTGCCATTATCAGCCAATCGAGTTCCATATTTATTGATCTCTTTTTTTTTTGTAATTTAGGACAAATTATCAGATTTAGAAAGTACAATGATTGCAACAATTTTATATTATTTCATCACTACAGTACACTGTCTTGTATTATTAGGTGTGTGCAAAACTTTCCAGCTCTGTATTCAGTCTTTAGTTTTCATAAAAGTGCTGGGAACTTTTGCACTTACAAGTAGATCACAAAAGGAAGAAATAACAAAATATAAACAATTAAAAAAAATACTGGTCTTTATAAATTCATCAGATGTATTAACATTAACTGGTCTTCATAAATTCATCAGATGTATTAACATTAATTTTGATGAATGAAAAGGTTAGAAGAAAACTATACTTAGTTTAGCCGACGGATTATATCAAGGCAAAATATAAAATCTGTCAGCTAAATTAAGTATAGTTTACCTTTTGTCTTTACATTCATTTTGTTTCTTCTACAGATATACTCCATCTTAGAATATTTACACACTAATTTTGATGTATTGGTGTGGATACAAATTTTTTTGATTCCTACGTTTTTAATGATCACGTCTAGAAAAACCTGATGTACTGGAAGTAGGATTGAAATCATTCTACTTCCAGCTATCCCACCATAAGTAGTTGATTGACTGTTATCCTTATAGATTTCTTTATTATTAAGTACGGCTCTGTTGATAAGATTATTTAAGTCAGTTTATCAGTCAGCATATTTTTCTGGTTTATTCAGAATATCTCTAAAAGTAGCTAAGCAAAAATGAATGTAGTGTTTATAATGGTCACCTGCCTAAAACATTTTGAAGTTAATCAGTTAACCATTTTACATGAATTCATCTAGGCCAGTAAATTATACGTAAAAGAATTTTGGGAATAGAATTTCATGCAACTTAAGTTCAGCAATATCAGAAAATTTCTAGTCCCATAGTTTTATCTAATTGTTAGAACTTTCTTCACAGCAACAATTTGCATACAATATATACAGTATTTTCTTTTGTTATAAATTAGATTTAATATTTATAACATTTACTTCTTTCCTCCAGGTAAAGTCAAGTTTGAATACAACTGGATCATCACCCAAGACTGGAATATCTCAGAGCATGAATGTTACAAGCAGCATGAGTGTGCCTGTCTATTCTACTGAATTTGAAGATGAAGCAGAGGTTTGTACACACTTTTATCATATGACTTTAGTATTCATTTTGCCTTTTATAATGAATAAACTATAATAGGATAATATAGCCTGGCACACTTGTCTTTTCTGATTATAATATTGTGTGTGCTATACCCACTGAAGAGTAGATGGATGGGTCTGTCTATGAAATTTTGGAGTCAGGATGTTGAAGGTAACATCAATCAACTAAGTGACCAACTTTACAAGTTGGTTTTGGCAGGAATGGCAAGAAGTGGCCTGGTATCATTTCTCCTATGGATTGAGCCAGTTGACTGGGTCTCCCTGTAACCCTACCAATATTTTATTTTTTTTTTATTTATTTATTTTTTTTTTATGAATGAAAATGGCGATCAAACTTTCTGAAGCAAAGGCAAGAAAAGAGAAAAAAATGGAAGAAAGGAGGAGGGAAAGAGAAGGGGGAGAAAAAGGAAAAGGGAGTGTGGAAGAAGGAGAAAGGAGAAAAATGTTAATATAGCAGTGATGAGTGACAAATTAAGCCTGAGTTCCTCATTGGTTAAAATAAACATTAGCAGGAAAGCATCTTAATTTGCTGATTGGTAGAAAATCCAGATACTACCCCATAAAAACCCATTAATGGAGGACATATGCAGAACTTGATACATAAAGTACCCAGAATGCTTGCCAGGATTACAATAGTTCACAGCTGGGCCCAATGGGAAAGGAAGCCTGTTGTCCAGAAAGCCCAAAACATTCGATGACCCCATGAGACAACATTGAGCTGTGGCATAGCTAGTGTTTTTGCCGCCAGGAGCAACCCTCAAGTTTACCACCACTTCCCAGAAGGAATACAATATTACAATTCACATTAACCCCTTAAAGTTTATTTTTATAGAAAATAAACTTACAGTCAATTCATAATTTATCATTTTTTTTAAATATTTATTTCAATTCTAACAAGTGAGAAGTTGTAAATTAAATGCCATGTTAGCAGAAACACGGTTTGTTTTTCTTCAATGTAAAAAAAATGCAATGTCTTTTTAAATTATTTTGTTTTATGTAGTTGAAATTATTATTAGCAAAATAGTAGAGTAAGAATTAAATGTTCGATAAAATTAATTTCACTTTTAAAAACTGAAATAAATGTTATCATACTTTTAATTCTTAATCTAATTTGCTTAATAAAACTTAAAATATCTAAACAAAAATAAAACATTACATTGTTTTACTACCGTGAAAACTTATAAATTGAAAAATTGAAAAAAAAAATGACCATTTTTGAACTTTAAATAAAGTTTCTGCACTTAAAAAAAATATATATTAATTTTCCATTTTGTTTTAAATTTCCGTTCAATATTTCCAGGAAAAATTGTAATGCATGTGATATCCTTGAAGCATTGGAATTATTTCAATTTATTTATCTGTCTATTTTATAATTTATGAATATTATAAAACTAGGTCTATGATAAGATAAAAAAAAAAAAACAATTGGTTCACTTATTTATTTAAGATAAAAAAAAACAATTGGTTCACTTATTTATTTTTAATTTTTTTCACTAACAGTTCACAGACATGAGAAATCAAAATCAAAGAACTGATGCCAAAATTTGGACTTCTCACATAGGTGTGAAAAAACTTTAAAAATGTTCAATTTTTTTTCACACCTTTTGCCTATGTCTTGTAAGTGGGGTTTATCCACACCAGATGACAGTGCATCTTGGAGACAATATATTTTTTTTCATTGCAGGCTGGCTGGCTTAAAGCCAGCCATATCAAAGACAAATTAGCTTCATTTGAACAGTTATCAGTGCAGAAAGTAGAATTGACCAGCTCAGTTCAAATTCAATTCACTTTTGTATTATTGCCTTTAATAAAGGCATGAATCCATTTTTTCCAGTTATGTTAAATAGCAGTGTAGACTGGGCTCTCTAGCCTTAAATAGCAGCCAGTCTAAAAGAATGAAAACTCTAAATTCAAAATCATGAAGAAGGCAACAGGAAAAACACTGTATCCCAAGAAATCATGGAAATTCATGCATATTAAAAGAAAAGGAAAACTGTGGAGAGCCATGATTGTCAATGTTCACTCAGGATATGACATTGAAAAATATTAATGTTGATCCCATTCTTCTTTAGCCATTTATTTCCCAAATAGAAACATTAAAAACTTTTACTTTTGATCACTTCAAATTTTCTTTACTATAAACAAGCATTCTTATTGTTGCTTATTTAGCTCAAAGCCACAATATTATATATTCACATTCCAGTATTTCATAAGTTATTTCAATTTTAAAAAATTGGTATTGAACCTTATATAAACTGACAATAGAATATTCTTCTTTTTTATCATGAATTTTAAAGCAGATTGTATATTAGTTAAAAGCAATAAAAAGCATTAAAAAAATAAAACTTGCTTTTAATGAAAATTCTACTTTTCTGTATGATAATTTTCAAACAGGCAGTAAAGTAAAAGGGAATTAAGACATTATTGATTTATTATCTCTTTTTATTTTTTTAAAATTTTTCTTTTAGCAGGCTAATCTGAATTCTAAATTCAACTTAAATGTAGAAGCGCAGGACATATCAGCTCTGAAATTTGAGGTTAGTTTCTCCTAACAAATATTTTGATTTTCATTTCTAATTAATATCTTAGTAAAAGTGGATTTTAAAAAAATCATAAATTGATAAAATTGCTTAACATGAACAAATTGTATTTAAAATGAAAATAATCTAGTGGAATCCTTATTTTAATGCCCTTGGTTTAGTTTCTTTTGTTCAGTAAAAAATGTAGACCATCTGAAAAATCATTTTTAAGGGCTCATAGCATCTAAACTATTTGGAATAAAGGTAAAAAGAAATCAAAAATAGTTCATTTGCATAGAAAATTATTGAAGTGCTAAGTGTCAGCTTCAAAATTCTCTTAAGTATCAAATTTATTTAAAAAGTGACAAAATTGACAAAACTTTGATTTCAACATGACAAGTTGTTCTAGAAAAATATTTTAACCTTAGACAGAAGTTTGTCCCAAAAACAAAACTTCTGTCACATGATCTTCACATGTATAAGAATCTGTGGTAAAAATATAAAAATTTTCTTAAACTGCCTAACAGCTCTGTTGATGTCATAAATGTAGGCCATTTTAAGATTTAAAAAATTGAACAATTTTCAAACGGTAATACTGACATTCCTATAACAGGAATGAGTATGATTACTGCTTAGAAATAATCTATTTGCTTATAAATGAAAGGAAAGTTAATTTGGATGTTCTGACATTCTTTGTAAAATTTGAGATCATATTGCATTTTGACAGTTGCAGATTATTATTAAAATAAAAGTACATAAGACACACTTAAGCTGTTTATATTTTTCTACTCTGCAGTAAGTATTGACTATTCTCACCAAGTTTCAACTCTCTACATGTAATATCCTTGGAGCTATGAAGGTCAGAATTTTGTTAAAATACTCATTTAGCAAAATTCAGAAATATGTAATGAATTTTCAAGATGCTCTGATTTTAAAACTATTAAAGATGCAGATCTATTTATGATCTATCAATAAATTTGATCACAGAACACCTGTGAATTTTCCCAGATTTTTCTGTGGATTTTGTGGCTGTTGATTGATTTGAGAGAGAATGGCCCATATGCATTCTTTAAAATCTTATCTATAAAACCAGCAATTGTTTGTATGTATGTATCTTATGGCTAGCCAAATAACAGGGCTCTGGGGGTTGAAAATTAATCAAGTGTAACATGATTTGAGCATGAACATGGGCTGTGACAACCAAGGTCTCTAGAAGTTAACACTTAGGATTGAAATTGCTACTTCTGGTCAAACTGCAAAAAAAAAGGACATCTTTTTACACAAACATTACAAGTGCTCTAATTCTAGGTCACTATCTAAACAGTTATTTATTTTTAAAAAAATGCAACTGACCAAGCAGTTAGCTGTTTGTAAAATGAAATTGATGAGCCAAGTTCAAACTCCAACTGAGATACTTCATTTGATATGAACACATGAAAAAGACATGAATAAAGTCCCTCAGAGGAATGAAATGCTTTGGTTAAGATAAGTTTTCTTTTTTGTCTTTATTCATAGCAATTATTAAAATTAATGGAGCATTAAAAAAATTTTTTACTATAAATTGAAAAAGATATATTGTTAGGATAAAATTTGTGTTTTAATTTGTTTATTTTTGGTGTTTTTGCAGTTTTTTTTACATATAAAATAGAACTATTGTTTTAAAACAATGATTCTGATAAAATGAGCATTTCTGGACTAACTAAAGAGTGTCAACATTATTTTTTTTTTAAACAATGCAAATTAGAGTGAACTCATGATTTTATTCATTTTAGATATTTGGAAAACCAGTCAATGTCAAGTACTTCTAGGAAAATTATAAAACTACTTATTAAGAGATAGGATTTTAATAACAACATAAAATAATATATAATTATTTGTGGATTCTCATCTTACTGAGCCTTCAATTGGAAAGGCCTCTAAAAGTTCAGCTGATATAATGTACATTTTATTATTCTTAATACTTTTATGTTCGATTTCATCTCTGCACTAAAAATTTCTATTTCTTTGATTGATATTTTATCATTACCATCATTTCAGAATCCAGTTAATCCAATTATTGTGCAACAGGAAACTGAGAGTGAAAGTGAGGATTATGGGAAGGATGTGGTGAGTTGCTTTGATTCTCATTTTCTAATTTTAAATTTTACACTGCAAAAATCCAACAGAAGTCCATTAAATAAACTAACAAACTACTTCAAGTAAGTTTTATTCATATTTTTTGGATTATTTCTGAAGTACCCTGTTTGACTGCTTAAATATTATTGCTGAATGTTCACTATTAGACTTATCTTTTTTTCTTTTTTTTCACATCAAAATAAAGAATTTTAACCAATGAATCTAAAAAGATCAATCCTAAAAATTCAATATTATTGGAAATTGTGAATGTCTTTGTTTTTCTTCATTTTTTTTTTTTTAAGTAATATTTTCATTTTTTAGGTAAAATTCCAAAAGACTAGAATGATTTTATGCTATTATTCCTTTGTCAGGATGGCAGAAGAATTGTCTCTGAAAAAATTATCAACTTCATTGATTAATGGTCTATAAGATGAATGCATTCAAGGCATTCATTCAGACTATTGTCTCTTTGTTCTTAGATTTCAACTAAAGTTTTCTAATAGACTTTGATGTAAGTAATATATATATATATATATATATAATATATATATATATATATATGATGTGGTTTGGTTAAGCAAAATCTTCTAGAATATTTTGCATTGATAAATATTCACTAGACAATAAGATAGGAAAAAGGAACTATTAATGTGTTCAGTTTCTTCTGTCATATTGCTTTCTCAGTCAGCTCACCTGACAACAAAGTTGTCACAAAACTTGGTTAACTCTTGAGAAATCATGTGTTCCTTGTAGATTGTAGATTATCCATTGATTGAACTGAAAACCTATGCCAGTTTAAATCAAAAGTAATTTTTAAGAGACATATATAGATTTATAGATATGCTCTTAAATATTAGTATTCTTTCTATTCTCCAAGAGATATATAAAAAACAGAACTTTAAATTTGTTTTTTAAGCAACAAACTTTTCAGAATTAATGAATTTACCTATATAGATTTTTGTAACTGATGGATAAAATTAGTCCTAAATTAATGATTAGAAATTATTTTAGTATTTAAACTAATAAATATTATTTTAAAATATATCATTGATTGTAATTTCAGTAGGTTAGATATGTAAAAGCTTATTTTTAAGAATTAATAATCTTATATACAAAAAATAATTTCTATGGGAAATAATTAAAAACATTAGTTTAGTTGAAAAATGGAAACTATGCTCCATTTGGATATCATGATTTATATAACAACTGCAAAAGATGCAATAATTATATTGCAAAATTTTTGTTGAATATCTAAGCAATAACTGACATAGAAAAACAGCCAAAGAAATGAGATATGATGTCCAAATATCCACAGAGAAATCTTTCCTGATATTACATATAAAACTTTATTTCATTAAGTAAGGTCTATTAGTTTTCTTTTATAAAGAAATTTCATGAAGATTGGTATCTTGTTTCAGACTTTTTTGGTTTTAAAAAGGGTGTCAAGCTAGGAATAAAATCACAAGAATATCAAATTGCTGATGTTTAATTTTGAATTGGTACCACTTAAGATTTCCAAATTCATAAATCATTTAGTTTTAATAGATTTATTATTTACAAATTTAACAAAGAAATAGTTCTCTGTTAAATGAATGGTTTAAAATTTTGTAAAGTGACAAAACTCAGACCATAGGATTTGATGAGTTCATTGTAATGAACAAGGAATACAAATTTTATGACTTCTTTTATCATCAGCAATTCCTATGAGGACAATAATATCAACACATCTGTTGTTCTTTCAACTGCTTATTGAAATACACTTTTAGATGTTAGTTTTGAGGTTTATAAATTTAATTAAAAAATATGATTTATTGATTTGCCTGTTGATAATTTGTTGTTCAAACCAACATGGCAGCACTTTAGACATCAATTATTGTTTATCTCTGTTCATTTCTCTTGATTAATTTGTTGTGGAGAGGAAGGTAAAATCCCTATATAAATAGTGAGGATTTCTTACGTTTCCATGATGTAACTACTCTTTGATAATATGTTTCTGATATACATTTCCCTTAAACAAGTGGGATCGACCATCAATGGAAATTTTTATCTGAGATTGGCATATCAAAACAACAGTAGAGTTGAAGCTTGGTGCAACCACAAATTTAACATTGAATATCAAATTAAAATTTTATTCTCTTTAACATAAAGATTAAATTATTTTTTTTTAAAAGTGTACATAATACTTTTCTTACACTTAATTTATGCTAAAGCTTATCTCGGCTTACTTCTAATCTATAGACACTTTGATAAATCACTCTAAAGATGATTGCAAAGTTGCTTTTTGAATGGCTTCAGCAATTATGAATGTACAAGTGCAAAACTTATAAAGGCTTATTTATGCAACGCCTGCTTTCATTGGGCATAAATCTATAAGCATAACATGATTTAACGCACACTGTCAATTAATAAATATTTTATCACATATTGTTTTACTTTTGCATTCAGTAATTTTTCCATGTTAATTAATATTCCCTGATTAAGATCAGCATAAAACACAGATGGAAAGGTCATGAAAACAAAACTCACAAGTACTAAAACATCATTAATGTTGTATGAATGTTTATATAGTGTGTAATTCCTACTGCTTTCAAAAAATGTCTGTGGACATTTCAGATTTTTCATACTGTGCATCCTGAGCTTGCTTTCTTCTGTCTCCTAACATTTGTGTCTGCAATGTACACATGCATACATAAATATTTAAGATAACATTTATCATGATTGAATTATATTGTTAAAGAGATGTGATACTGAGTGTCATCATGAAGAGTATACAGTACTTGCTCTTCACACAAAAATATAGTTTCTTTTATGAAATATGCTAGTAAAGTTGTTGGCCTAGTTTCAAACCAAAAACAAATCATTTTCATCTGTAGTGAACGAGATAATCAAGTACCCCGGAAAAAAGTTCATGTTTTGTGTGCAATCTGCCGAAGAAGGATTACCAAAAAGTAGTCAGCAAAACTCTTATAGCGACTTACCTTGTCAACCCAAGCGACAGAAAAGATGTCGCGTGTATTCTGTGACTAAAAAAAGAAACAAGTCCGTCGCAGGAGTTGCTATAAGAGTATATTGATATGCAAATTACGGAGCATCCTATCCCAGCTGTCGACGAATAGAAAAATAGGTTCTGCCGATAAAAGCAGTTGGTATTTTTCGACTTGGGGAAGGAAAATTCGGGCAAATTTGTTACTTTCACAACACAAAGAAAGAAAATCACTTGTAACACGTCAGGAAAATAACTCACGAACGCCGAGTAGCCAAAAATGCCGAATTTTCGTTCCCGAGTCGAAAACACCAACTGCTTTTATCGGCAGAACCTGTTTTTTTTTCTATTCGTCGACAGCTGGGATAGGATGTCCGTAATTTGCATATCAATATACTCTTATAGCAACTCTTGCGACGGACTTGTTTCTTTTTTTATCACAGAATACACGCGCGCTCGCTTGGGTGACGGGGTAAGTCGCTCTAAGAGTTTTGCTGACTACTTTTTGATAATCCTTCTTCGGCAGATCGCACACAAAACACAAACTTTTTTCTGGGGTACTTGATTATCTCGTTCACTACATCATCTCAAACAAGTATTTATTTCTATAGAGATTTAAATTTGGTTTAGTCTAAAATAAGGCTAAAATAACAGAGCACACAATGAATATGTAACAATATGATAGTAATGGTCTGCAAGACCATTTTGTTAAGCATTCTCCCTCTATATTTAATGCAATTGTTTAGAGTTTATAATGTCCACATAGTTTTGCACTATATTCCTTCCTCTGACTCAGTTTGCCATTTGTCTTCATTCACTTGATGCTTACTTTGTAATGTGAACTTTTGTTTGTAATTCTTCATTGTTAAACTGGCATTGGTTATAATTCTGTAGAAATCATCAATATCCAAATCAGTGCTTGATCAGCATTGTCAGGTAAACTTTTTAATGAATTCCTCATTGAACTACCAAATTAAAATTGCAATAATTACAAGTTATTTGTTTTCTTAAAAATTGATTGTATATTTGAAATGTGCATTTTTAAAGACTTTCAACAGCATTGACCTTTAAATTTATGAAAAATACATAAAACTCAGCCACAAGGTAATTTATATGACTTAAGCATAAAATATATAAAAGTTGAGTTATTGGAAATCAAATTCCATATATATTACTCTATATTGTAATCTTTCTCTTTGTGGAAATTATGTGATCTATAACTGTATCATTAAAAAAAAATTTAAAATATCTCAAAGAATTAGTTTTATTTTGATATTTATTAAAATTCAATTGCATTTTATTTTTTCTTCAACTTAAAACTATGAATTCTTTCTAATTCTGTTGAAAGTTTTAAAAATGTCAGGCTTATGACAAGATATTTGCTGTATGTGTTAGCTAAATCCTAAAATATTTTGTCAATATTTTTTATTACTAGCTATGTATCTACAGTTAATAGTTTTAACATTAATAAAACATTGCATGCTAATTAGTTTGAGTTTTAAGCTTTTAGTTCACATTTAAAACTCATAATGTGCACTACATTTCAATTCATATAATTTCCTTCATATACACTGACCTTTATAATTTCCTTTGTATAATTTGTATTTTGTCTCTCTGTATGTGTGTGTTAAGATCATGAGAATCCAGATGTGAATTTTGGGTCAAGTTACTTTGTCTTCAAATAAGTGATAAATTGATCTTTGATACTTAAAAATTAAAATCTTTTTCTTTTCTATTATAAAACCTTTCTGATAAAAACTTGAATTTTCAAATAAATTCTGATTTTACTTTTATATTCCTTTGATTTTATTATTTTTTTTTTTTCCATTTCTATTGATTATTAATATTTTCCTTTTAAAATAAAGATCAAGTAAAACTTATAGAATATTGATTAGGTATAAGATTATAAGAAACAAAGAAATTATTATGCTAAACTTTTAGCTTTTATTTTTAATTTTAATCACTCCTTTGATTTCTCAGCTTTATATTTAGTATAACGACAAATTTT